AAGAATATAAAGATTATGAAGGGCTCATTCCATGAAAGAGAATTTCATGCTTCTTCACTGCTATATCATCTTGGAAACTACTGAAAAGAGTAAAGAAATGAAAAGGAGTGCAAAGTACTGCTTTTAGGTTGGTCTATCTATAAGTAGAGATCATATGAAACCGTTTTTTTCAGGGGTGCTGACCCGCAGCGAGGTAGAGATGACTAAGTGACATGTGGAATATGGAGACGACAATAGCATGCCGTAGAAGGAGATAACAAGTGGAGTCAACAATCCACTAAGACTAACCTATCTACAAGTACATCCCCAAGCGGCAGTCAAACAAGGACAGCGAGATGCCAGTGGAATGATTGACCGGACATTCTGAAGAGTCAGAGCATGTTCTTATTTTAATACGTTAAGATTTAAATAATAAAGGTACTAAGATGGTACATATTACAAAAGATCAGCATCTATCACTAACATGAAACTACAGATCTCTTATCTCTTCTAGGAATTCCATGTGTTGCTCCCTATTTACCATAATACTCCTTTCACACATAAAAAACAGATTTAATAGACACCTATTCTTAATCATATCAGCATGTTCATTTTTGTACCTTTCAGCTATATAATGGAGTACATTCTCAAATTTTTGACATATTCCTTGATTTTGTTTATCCTTTAAGCATTCCATTTCAGTGCTTAGACTCTGTTTCCTGAGATGAAATTTGTGGCAAGGGTGGAATAACAAAGTGTTCATATGTTATGCAGAACCATTAGATATGTCAAATTCAACAAAATATGGGATCTCAATTTTTCCAAAACCTAGATCGAAGTGTAATGGTCCTCTACTCTAGCTTTCAAGTTATTCCTATTAGTACATTCTTTGAATCACCTGCACTCCCAAGGTAGCAAAATAGAGAATCCTAAGGCCAGCTTTCTCAAGATTCTATGTAGTCAATGTAATTTTTCTTAGTGTTTCATCGAACATTGGAACAAACATGGGTATAACATTTCTTCTTTGCAGACAATTTTAGACCCATGGAACAAGTTAAGAAGCAGGACTCACCTTTTGGGGGACAGTATCATCCATGTCAACAAAGTACTGCCTGAAACCACAATGAAAGTTCATAACTTGTTATGGATGAAATGCATATATAATTAACTGTAAAGTAACAGCGACATCAGCTTGAAGCATAACAAAAGAATTTTTGGTGATCGACTCACTTCACAACTGAATATGCAGGATTGGACCGCAATGGATTGTCATAAGTCTGCCGTCAAGCAACAAGATGTAAAAGAAGTTCAGTTAGTAAATATAAGCATCCAGCACAAGAGACATAAAGGTTGGCAGTACAGAAAAGATAATACCTATAAGAGCCAATATTGAACCATTTATTTGAAACACTTAAAAAAGGGGAGGGGGTGGGGGGTAAGAACAAGAGGAACTAGGATAGTAGGTCACATGCCAGCATCCACGATATTTAAAGTGATGACAAACTGGTTCCTTTCCAAAAACAAAATACAGATGGACTGAGCTTCTCCAACCATGTGATTGAATTGAGAACAGGAAAGAAAACAAAGTAGAGTGATGGAAAGGATATGGTTTTTTTAAAATTAGTTTGTGGACAGAAGGATGTACGAATATTTGTCAGTCCAACAAAACCTGAACTTAGCACTTGTGTTCAAAAACAAAATTGCAGACATCACGAAAACATTTTGTAAAATGAATGAAAGTTCACACATATAACGGTTCTCCATTAACAACTGATTAGAATACAACAAAAGGCAATGCATATTCACTTGATGCCTCTTGTTTACTGACACAAAATAAAAGATTTAGATAGCATCTAGCAGCTGTGCTGAACACCAAATTGTAGGCGCCCCAAAAACATCTTTTACATAAATGCCAGTTCACACAATTAATCATCCTCCAATAAGTCAGGATGTCCCCTCATCGAGATAGCTATGAACTCCTTCCTTTTGCAGGCTACTTAAAACTTCAAAGCACAAAACTGATATCTTAATTTTCATAAACCTGTTTTGCCTTGCATCTTTTTATAACAAAAGTGTCCCAAAGAAATTGAGTAGAAAATCTCCCCCTACCCCCCACGCCCCCCCTATTCTTCATACAAAGGGCTTCTGATTCTATCTCTTAGGTTCTGACAAAACTTCATCAGAAGCCCAATAATCATTTCTCCAAGAACTTCAAACATAAAAACTAGTAGAAACTAAACATGAGAGAACATGTGTACTTTATGGATACCATACTTCTGTAACCAGCTCCCCAATTACATGACATTTGAAGTCATCAATAAATTTCAAAGATCTCCCAATATTAGTGCGTTTTCAGTTCACCACAACATAGAACATATTCTTAACTGTTTTTCAAAAGGGAAAGAAAATGACATTGTACATTTAACCAGAAATCCATTTATTCCAGCTTCAAAAGAGAACAATCCCATCTCTCTACCCTCCTCCACTTAAACACTATATACTCCATTCAATAGCTAACTCATAAGGTGTGCTTGCTACACATCACGATGCATAGCCCAATGAGCTTCTTTCACTCCTTTTTTTTTTTTTTTTTATAATGGTGGTGTCCAACTCAACTTGCTCACACCTCAACATAAACACTATGTGATTTTTTCTCATCTGTCCTAACTAGACAGAGTTACATAGTACATGTGGCTGGTGGAAGGTGGCAGGTATCCCGTAAAAATAGCTTCTTTCACATTTCTTTCAACATTTTTATGGATCAAGTGAAGGACAAACAACACAAGATGCAATAACTAAACAAACCCAATCAATTAACATTACAAAATGACAAAATCAAACAATTAGAGATTCACACATACAACATCCAAACACATGCATACTCAAAATCATTCAGAAATTAAGAGAAAAAAGAGAGAATACAAGAACAATACAGGAAGATCAGGGATATAATCAGTCAAATGAGGAACATCTTCAAGAACATAGCCATAATCTCCTTTCACCACCTTCATCTGGTAATTACTCTCAGTACCCATCTTCCCCAAATATATAAAAACAAAAAAGATTCCAACTTTCTCAATGGAAATTCAAAAGGGTATCTGAAAACAGAATCACAAAAACAAAAAAATACATATATATGTTAAATTTGAGTCAACCCAAGAAAAGAGAGATTTGTATTTTTTGGTTCTTGTGAGAGAAGAAACTGGAATATTGTAGTAAATAACAAAAACAAGCGTGACAGTACAACACGTGAATTGGAGATTTGTTCTTTCACACGAATCAAAGGAGCAAAAAATAATCAGAATTTTCAAAGGGGAAAGTGAAAAAAATGATATTTTTTTACAGAAAGAGTGAAAACATATGGATATGGAAGTTGGTCGGCTGGTGGTGGCATTTATCATATCATTTCAATTTTTTAAATATAATTATATATGTAATTAATAAAAAAAAATACTCCTATAGACGTTTGATTATGTTTCATTATTTTTATGATAGATAAGAAGAGTTTCTTCTTTATTAAACATTTTAATCCTTAAATGCTGTTGTTTCTTTTTAGTTTGGGTGATACTTCAAAATGATTAATGTGTATTGTTGTACTAATTCAAATTCATTAGGCCACGGAAAATCAAGTAGAATTTAAATATGTGATTTTATTTCATAATTTCACTCGATAAAATTTATCTTTAGTTTTGATGGTATATTGTTGTCACACAAAACGTTGAACGCAAGCTTCTACTTTATTCATGCCGCACAAATATAATATGTGACATTATCGTCGATTTCTCTAGTTTCATGGATCAGAGACCCGAGGACACTCTGAGTGTCATTCACGCTTGCTTCATATATCATATTTTCGAATTAACACTCCAAATAGTCAAATCTTGATCCTACTCAAACTTAATATTTTAGACTCCAAAATTTGTTTTCATACCTTTAACTTATCATTAATTCTCCGTGAGTCTCTTTCATCAAAATAAATCATAATTTTTTTTATATGTCATAATTAAGATATGTAGTTTTCAAATTAACAAACTAAGAGCAATATAACAAAAGAAATAATGAATACATTTTGAGCTAATATATAAAACAAAAAGTATTTTAAAAGGAAAAAAATTAGAATTAAACTAAAATATTCTTTATTTGTTATTTTATATAGATTTAATGCTTAATTATTTACGATTTAATTATAAGAAAAATAATTAAGATAGACAAAGAAAAAATAGAGAAGAGAACTAAAAGGTGGGAATCAAACTTTCGTTAAAAAGGTACTCCTATATATATAATCAATCAACTGAATTATGAATTAGTAAAATTTCAAGACGAAAATAGAATCATAATCAATAAAGTAAAAATTTAAATAACTAATCAAATTTTTTTTTAGAGAAAGAGAGAAAGATAGTATAGTATTTGATTGACTAATTTAAAATGGTTAATTCTTTTTTTGATTTTCATCATAGTGTTTCGAATTCGTATCGAAGCTGATGATACAAATATATCATTTTCAACAAGATTTTTTTTCCTAGAACTCGAACCGAAACCTCTAATGTAGTAAAGCAACCCCCCCCCCCCCTCTTC